ATGGGACACTCACCATTCGTGGTGAGAAGGTCCCATTACGAAAAGTTGGAGGCGTTGGCTTTATCGTCCACCGATATCGTTTATCTTGTCGCTTCGCATGAGATCCTATCACCTCGATTAGCCATCCTACGGCTACGACCCACCTCAGAAGGTCACCAGCATGATCAACTGCTATTCTCCAACAGCTGAGGAATCAGAACTAGATGCTTTTTGCGAAGACGTGGAGGAGGTTGTCTGCATGAAAAGTCCTTTCAAGTTTGTTGTGGCGATACAACACGAAAATCGTGATGCCACTAGAAAAGGAACATAGGATCGGAAGTTTGGATATTGGGCAACCGTTTCCGTGCGCTTCTTTCCTCCGCACGACTCTCATGGGAATTGTATCTTCATAAAGAAAGACCATCGCCTGTGGACATGGGAATCGTTCAACGGAACGACTCATGCGGAGATATCGACCATATTCTCACCAACCGAAGGTGGAGCTTGCTCGATGTCTCAGTAGTTCCTTCATTCTGCAGTGTCTCCGAGCACCGCTTCCTACGAGCGAAGAACGATTTACTCAAAGAAAAAAGTATATCACAGTGCCGCTATATGGTAGGAAGTTGTTTATGACGGTAACAGGCTGGAAAAGCTTATGCCGCAATGTGATTAGCTTATCGAGGAGGACACAACGTACGACTACGACTGGCTTTTGAAAGGATTGCAAGCCTGCGGAGAGCGCGTTTTCGAGAAGAACTTGCAATGCATTCCGAAGATACCAAAGAGTTACTTGAAAGAAGAAAATCCCTGAGGCAATACCCGAGTGTAACCCATCTCGAGCTACTGATAGCCAACGCCATTTGCAGAACAGCTTTACAGGAGGATCTCAGGAAGTATAGGCAAGCCAAGATAGTGAAAGCTGCCGAGGAAGATGAATTTCCAAAAGTGTCGAAGGCACATACCACGTGCAGCTGGCTGCACTATTAGACGGACGCGACCAGGGTCAGGCGTGGGGTATGGTATACCACACCTGGGGATTAAGGAATCAGGGAGGGGGAGGGGTCGTTATCAAGGCGTCCGCTGTTCGCATAACATGATATTCGTTAACATCATCAAATAGGCCCGTTAAGCAAAATACTAGCACATTGATGTTTAACCCATTATCGTATACGCACAGTAAGCATAATTAAAGATCTATATAGCATGAGAGCATCGTTTTGTAATTAGCAAGTAAAATAACCCCTGTGGTCCAAGTTCAGCGAATTCTGGTTTCCAAATACAGGGCCACCTAAGTGAGATGGTCGTTTTCAAACATGTTACTTTGTTTCAAAGGTAAGCTAACTACTTCATTTTGCGCTTTATGCAAAGAACTACTATTACTTTGCTCACATTAGGAATCGTAGTTCAAAAGACCTCCAAATTAAGGAATTAAGAGCAAGCCAAAATCTCGTCTGTTCCATTTTTCGTTTTCAATATCTCAGGCTAGAGAAGACCAGTCAGGCTCAAATCACTTTAATGTAGATTGCGAAATTTAGGCTATCGAATATATATATTTTTGTCGCCTTCCCTTGCGAACGTAGTAGGGCAGACTTAGCATGTTGCCGTATCCCAATATTTTAGCAGTATTTTACCATATTCTACATTTGCATAGGTAAGGAACGATTATATCTTGCTCTTGAAGAAACGTTTTCATATGAAATTTCTGCTATGTAAAGGAGAAGGTTAAGCAGTAATAACGATATAAAAAACGCGGCTATTTGATTTGTTTGAAAGTAAGTTAGTGGGGTATGGCACCACCCCTAAAAAGCTGTTGCAGCCACAGCCTTTTAGGGTGGTGCCACACCCCATTAACTATATCATAAAAACATTTTTAGCGACCGTTATTTATATGGATCGATAGCGTAGACCTCGTAGATTTTATGGGAGTGATTTGAGCCTGATTCGTCTTCTTAGCTCTGAGTAATATTTGGTAAAAGCACAGCCATTGAAAGCGAATGATAGGAAAAACAAGATTTTGGTTGGCTTCTAATTCTGAAGTTAGGAGGCTTTTGAAGCAAGGTTTCTAAAGTGGCCAAAGAATGAGTAGTGCTCTATCTTGAGTGCAAAGACACGAGCTACTTCACCTTTCAAACAAAGTTAATCATGCTAGAAAATGGCGATTTCTCTTAGGTGACCCAGTATCTTGAAAATTCAGAATTCGCTCAAACATTGTCTACAGGAAGTAATTGACATGCTAATAAGGGGGGGGGTCGTAATCAGCGATCGTGTGCCACACCTCTCGCTTGACCCTGGAAGCGACCTCCTCGACCCCTTCCCGATATAAGATGAAATCTATCTCGAGGAACTTCTATACCAAGCTATTCCTCTCATCAACACCCGTGCCGATCCCCGTTGTTCCCTCTGGAGAAGTACCAGAACGAAATCTAACTGCTGAAGTGCGCACAGCAATTGAGACCGTGAAGACATCCACGGCTCTAGGACCAGACCATCTTTTCGTCTAATTTCTGCGGGTCAGAGGACAAAGCCTATACGAGATTCTCGCGTCGCACCTGACATCTCACCTTCAGAAGGAAAGGATTTCCGACGAGTGGAAAACGTCAAGAACCGTCCTACTCTTTAAGAAGGGTGAACGGGAAGATCTTCGGAACTACCGTCCAATATGCCTGCTGAGTGTGCTGTAAAAGCCTTTCACAAAGTTTATCCTCGCTCTCATAACTAGGACACTGGATGAAGCCTGCCCCGAAGAGCAAGCTGGATTTCGCAAAGGAGTCAGCTGCATGGACCAGACAACTTCGGGGCTCATAGAAGTTTGCCGGGAGTACCGACTGCCCCTTGTCCTAACCTTCAACGAATACGAAAAGCCTTCGACAGCGTCGAAACAACGCCATCCTGTGGGCTATCGATCAGGAAGTGGACCCAGCTTACGTGAGGACGTTAGCCGACTGCTACAAGGACTGTACAACGACGATGTAGCTGCTCTATCGCCTCTTGACCATCCCATTTAAAAAGGGGTCTGACAATGCGACACAATTCGCCGAAGCTGTTCACCGCGGCCTTGCAGTGGGTGATGAAGTCACTGGACTGGGACGAGAGAGGCATACGAGTTGATGGGAGATTCCTATCTAAGCTTCGTTTTGCGGACGACATCGTCCTTTTTTCGAGCGGTATCACTGAAGCAGAGACGATGCTCAAGGAACTAAACGAAGTAGGGAAGAAGATAGGGCTGCGAATAAATCGAAGAGGACTCAGTTAATGAGGAATGCCCCTTGTGGTGCAGAAATGGAACTGTAAAGCACCTCTATCATGGAGACGTCTTCTTACGAGTATCTCGCAAGTGCGATGAACATGGAGAACGACTTGAGGGAAAAACAACCAGACAAACTTAAACGAGAAGAAGAGCAGGCGCCACAGCCTTCACCAAGCACTTTTTAATTTTTCCTAGGCAAGCTGTATATTTCCTGAAAGCGGAAGACAAGGCGGTTCCAACAATGACCAAGTCGTTGTACCAGCTGTTCGTCAACGTGACATTCTGAAATCACATATTACACTTTTCAACATGCACTTTTATTGACGGATCCCATGCAAAGCAATATATACGTTCTGAAAGTGGAAGACGAGGCCGTTCTGAAAATATATTTCTTGCTGAGCTACTGTTCATCTACAGAAATTATAATTTTTTTCCTGGAAGTCCGTGAATGCCTATAAATCCTCCTCCTTCCGAAACAGAAAGAATTTTCGTACAAAAACCTTCTATACTATCTCTCAAGAACAAAACGGGGTGATTTTAATCTTACTTCATTTCGTCACCCTTGGTTTTTTTTCGTTTAAAAATATTGATATTCTCTTCTAAATTAATTCTGGTTTTTCAAATATGCAATTTGTATAGCTCTTTATGATCAGGAAACGAGACGCTTTGAGACTTCTTATCTCCTCTCTAATTTCACTGTAGCTTCCGAATCAAACATAAAATCACTTGAATTACAGCTCAAAATTTTCGTACTTCCAATCCTTGGCTTAGATGTCAAAATCTGAGAGATGATTCCGAGAAAGTTCCAATGTCGCTCCATCGTATCCTTTGTTCATATGAACTTACGAGCACATTTGTGAAGAAAAGTCGTCATTATTGCACTAATTCTACTCATATCATTGAGAGATCTTTAAGCAAACAATGCTTTGAATTTTTCTCGTGCTTCATCACTCATAATACTTCCTGATACTTGCTATTTGTACACTTTTCCAAACTACGTTTCATCTTTATTCCTTTTCATTGATGTATAAACTTCCCATGTTCTCACGATAGTCGGTAGTCGTCAAATTGCTTCTAATGAAATAGCAACTCTGAGACAAGAATATAAACTACAGCTCAGCACGTATTCTCGTACTGCTCGCCAAATACTGAGCTGCAAAAATCTCACTGAACGCTCAGAAATCCTGCTTACATCCACTTTGGACCAGTTCATATATCCGGTCCTTGGACTCTATGGTGATTGTAGAGCCGGCAAGTAGTTTGAAAACTGCGGCGGTTCCACCAGGCTTCTTTGGTGAAGGAGTCATTTTGCTAGCGGCTCAGGTAGGGGTGAGCAAATTCTCACATTATCACACCTATGATTCAGAGCCAGCTTAAGAGGCTAAGCTAAATAAATATTTCGGAAGTATTGATCGCAAATGTAAATATTGCACTGATACAGCATCTCATGTAAATGCATATGGGCAACTTTGGGCGCAGCTCTACCGAAAGAAATGGTTCAAAAATACTCATTTTGTTGTGTTTTTCGAAACGTGTTTTCACTAATCAGTTTTGTGTTTCCATTGACCAGATCACATCACATTTCTTGTGAACACTCTCTTTAAAATAGTCTAAATCAGTAATTCAATGGCACAACATCTTGAGGTCTAGTTAAAAACGCTGTTTTTTTTTTCGACCATATATCATCTGTTTTTCATCTGATACTACAAGCATTCGGTGAAATTGACAGTAGTAAATGTTCTACCAAGCCAAAAGCTTTATCTCTATCAACTTGTCAATGTGATGCTGGTTTCTTGCATACATAGGCTCTCATGACCAATGTGCATTCGGTCACAGCCCAGTGTTGATAATTGTTATCCTTTGCCGGATTTCTTCCAAGGTAATCACTGTGCGTCTAGGAAAAAAAGCTCTCTTCGAGCTACAAGAAGGATGATTTGCGTTTACCTGAACACAGTGCATTTTACCCCTCTTGTCATCCGGTTGACTGGGAGCCCAAAACTTGTAGTCGAGTTTTGTACCATCAGTCCATGTGAACTCGGAAGATGTGGGGTAGTTGTTCTGCTTCAAACCAATCCATGTAAGATCATCATCCTTTTTGTATTCGGCTCCAGCTTTTGAGATGTCTAGAAAAGCAGTTTCTTGGACGTCTTACAGCTCAAAATCATAACGCATAGCATAGTTTTGATATTAGATAAGGCGTAACTTATGCCTTTTTTTGATTTTTGACTTGGTTTTCAAAACTCACCTGCAACAAAAACATTCTCCTCATCGCTGTGAATAGAAGCGAGATGTCCTCCAGTTGACATGCACACCATTTCGGCGTTATCAAATGTTGCCCACAGGAAATACTGAATTGAAAAATACTTTGAATCTTTGAATCAAAGCGTTCCACATACTCTGTAGCAAGAGTCTGTCTTATTAAAATAGGCCCACCCAGATGCGCAATGTCCAATGACACCTAAAAGCTCACAAGTGGTTGAAATACTACTTAAATCTACAAGGCAACGTACGCGGTGGTTTTGGACACGCGCCAGGTGTTGGGCATGGTGAACACGTGGGCGGTGGTCCGTAGGCGGTAAATGCACAGATGTATGGATAGGCTGTGTTGCATGAGACTCCCTGCCATGTTCCATCGGCGCTGTTCAGAAGAGCGCAGGTAGAAGAGTTGGGAGGTTGGCCTGGTCAGTTATTTGTTTCAAAGCAATTTATCCGTAGTTTGGCTTACCAGTAGCCCAGTTGGTATAGGTAGAGTTGGAGCCGTCTGACCAAGCCCACGTTGCCGTGGACAGTTTGTTTAGACCCACAAACGAACGTGAGAGTTTCTCGCCAAAGGCCGTTTCTAAACCGAAAAAGTTCTTGAACTACGGTGTACTCTAACCTTTCCTATTATACCCGTAAGCATTGCATTTTCATATCCACTTGAGATCGAAACAACATGTCCACCAGACGAAATACACGATTCCTCGGCAAGGTAAAAAGGCTGTGGATCGTTCACGAATTTATAGCATCTGTAAGACAGTTAAAATCTTGCAGAAAATCTCCATAAGTCTAAATTCTCTACCTGTTGAATTCTTGATGATAAATCGTGCCCAAAGGACAGTCAGCCGCAATTGACGCAATGAGAGCCGCTAGGAAGAACAGCATGGCGTCAACGCGTGCCCTTATCTTCCAAACTGCTTGAGATGAGCATCGCATTGTTATCACATCATACAACAAGTTTCAAAAGTACTACTGAGAGTGAGTTTTGGGCGATCCGCATGATGAAATTACCCCTCCTCAAATAAAAATATGTTAGAGGTAAAACTTTCCGGTAATTGCTGGAGATGAGCTCTTACTTTTGGAGCCACGTTCATCCTTCGTTGCTTTCAATCATTTTTTTTTACTATGAATGGGCAACTGTCAGCACTAATGTAGCCGCAGACCAAATAAGGTTTTTAGTATTTTGCTGCACCTTGAGTACTTCCGCAGCCAATCGTCAAATTTTCGAACAACGGCATTCCCTTTTTGGGTTTGTACTGCACGGTAGTCGCCCAAAATTCATTCAGCTTTCTTGTTGGTTCAAATTGAAGCAAAATTCCGTGTCTTCGTCTAGCAAAAAGCGTGAAATTCGGATCTTGATAACACCAAAAATTCAATGCGGTCCTAAGGCGGTAAAAAACAAGAACCTCAGTTGATTGATTCGAGAACGAATTTCAAGGGAAAACATCGCCACCTTAATTATCTCTTACATTTGACCTCTCCATATCTCCACTTCGATCCCTGCTTTCTGGACGGAAGTTTATTTCTTGTTTCCTTTGAGTGCCTACCACTTGAGATAATCGTTGAGATAACGTAACTACTGCGCTGCTAATGAGCTTCCGCAGCGAAATGATAACGTAGTTCCGCAAGAGATAAGCGCGACGATTTTCGAAGAAACGTAATTGCTTCATTGCCATAATTTCATCTCAGACAATGAAATGAAACTGTTCCACCTTGAAGAAAGCCGTGAGCTGGCTTTTAATCCATGAAAGGAAGAAATTTTGTCTTCGCGCTGCCTCAGTCTTCTTATATATTGGAAGCGAGCTACTTGAGCACACTGATATGTTTGCTTCCGCAAGACAAGTAATGAGACTAAAAAACTCCATCACGAAAGGCAATCTTACCGAAAAAGTTTGTTTTGCCTAAAATTTTTCTTCATTCCCTACTTCACGTCTAAACGCTTGATTGCAAAAATGAGAGGAAAAAGAAAGTCGATGGCGCCATCTCATAGCAACCTAAAAAATAACAAGCAAGATAATTTTGACCACGATGAAACAAGAATATGTGGTTTTGCCAGATGGTGGCACACGGCTGCTGCCTTTGCTCACGCAATATTTCAACACGATTTGATCGGATTTCTTTTCACTCTATCAAACTCTATTTTCCCATGGAATATTAGTATACCAGTAAATGAAGTCATTTTGAAAGGCATAGGAGTATTTTCGTTCAATTCATGGCCTTAGATTGTTTGACGTGTGCCTTGGTCGCAGCAGCCTCACGATTTGGGGGTTCTACACTCAGTGAAAACCATGAATATGAACATGATCATTTTGCCGAAACGTCAATCAGTGAAGGTTGACAGTCTCGGGTCCAAACTGAACTACGATATAAATTAAGACCATGACAAAATTCAAAAAGAATCATATTTTTGTGGCCTCAGGTTCTGGTTAATTACCCTGTAAGAAAATGGTATGTACGCCTTTAGAGGTTGAAAGTACCTGACGATTTGTAGAACGTAATCGCCATCTCGCATGGGCGTTTTTTAATCTAATTTGATGGTGCACCTATTTGAAAGAAAATCTGCTTCAAGTTTTGGTCTAAGTAAATCTTCCTTTAATTCAAAGTCACTTGACTTCTTCGGTATAAATGGTAACTATTTGCTCTTGAAAACCCAATATATTTTACAAGGAACTATTGGTGACTATCTGCTCTGCAAAACCAATATTCTTTGCAAGGAACCATTATTGAAACACTAAGGTGTTTTCCACTAATAGGATAACATAGAGTCATTTTCCGCTAGAATTTTACATAGTTTTAAGATAAATAATGTCTTCACTGTAAATTTTTGTCGACGTTTTTGCTATACAAGAAGGTATGAGGATATCCAGATGTACTGGTCCCCTTCACAGTAGTCATCAAATGTTACATATTTTCTGCTTGAGTCTTTCCTTTGAGCCGAATTTTATTGTAAAAATTCCAAACCTCACATAGTGTGACCTCCTTATGATATATCAATAGAAACATGATAGAGCATTCTTTTACCCATACAAACAGAAGAATTCTTGCAAGATTTTATTTTAAGGAATCATCTTCAACCATAAATCAGTGGAAGGCAGCTTTCTTGCAGACGTAAGCTCGCATATTTGTAGTGCAAGCAATATCATTCCAGCGTTGGTAGGCATTGTCCTTAGCAGGATCCTTGCCTATGTAATCACTATGGGTCTGTAAAGAACTCACTTTTCAGAGACAACCTCAAAAGTACTCGCTGGAAAGCTCACTTGACCACAGTGCTCCAGTCCTTTATAGTTATCCGGCTGCCCAGCAGCCCATGCGGTGTAGTTTACCGGAGTACCGTCTGTCCACGTCCACTTTGTATCTTGGGGATAATTAGCTTGTCTTAGGCCAATCCATGTAAGTTCATTGTCGTTTTTGTACTCTGTGCCGGATTTAGAGAGATCTACAAGCTCCTGCATTAACATCTAAAGAATTTAAAAAAGTCTGAGTTACCAGCAACAAAGACGTTTTCCTCAGCACTGTGGATGGATGCTAGGTGACCATCGTTAGCGACGCATACGGTTTCAGCTTCATCAAATGTAGCGTAAAGGAAGTACTATAATATAATTTACCAGCTATTACGTACAACGTTACCAATTTACAGTCATGCTCATTTTTGCAGTCACTTTGTGTAATTACACAAGTTCCAATGAATTGGTGGAGCAAGCCGGTGGTCAAGCCATTATCATTAATAATTGTGAAAAAAGTAACAGCAAAGTGACACAAAAAATACTACTGTAAAAAGGGGACCACACTTGAAGACCATTATATGCCGGTCCAATTTCGAAAAGTAGTGCAGTCACTCAAAGAAACTGCTGAAAAGAGTTTATGAATCAATTACCCTGTAGCAAGAGTCGGTCTTCTGGAAATAATACCAACTATCTTGACAGTGCCCGGGTTGCACTGAAATAGTAAATTAAAAAGCTTGAGGCCCATTTACCCATGCCTTGCTTACCTGGAGGTGGTGGACATGAGGGATTTGCTGGGCAAGCTGGGCAAGTTGGAGCGGGAATGTCGGAAGTAAATGCGCAGACGTACGGATGCGTGGAGGCACAGTTCACAGAAATCCAAGTTCCATTGAGTGCTTCTACCGCACATTGAGAAGTCAAGTCTGGTTGACCTGGGTAAGGCTTCATTACTATAGAAATCAAGCATTTGCATTTTTGTTTTCGAAAATGGTATTGCTGGGGCTACTAATATTGGTTTCATCAACTTGAAAAATTCCAAAACATAACAAAGTGCAAAAAAGCTTGCATTTTTAGTATACTTTGCTGAAATCTGGATCCGCTACCACATCATTGAATCAATCGAGAATTATGCCCTTATGAAAAATATCGACTTGAATCTTTGAGTAATAAGCCAAGCCTGCTTTATACAGTTTGAGACCATGGAAAATTAGGAAAATGTAAACTGATTGAGAACTCGTGAAAACGAACAACTTACCTGTTCCCCAGTTTGTAAACGTAGCATTATAGCCATCAATCCAGGTCCAGTCCTTGCTCACCATTCGATTGTAGCCGATGTAAAATAAGTTGGGTAGATTTTGAGATGTAGCCGTTTCTGAATGAGAACTTTCACTTATTCTCTGCGCCCTTCCCTTGAGTCTGTCGCACCTGCTAACATTGCATTTTCAAAGCCATTTTTGACAGAAACTAAATGTCCTCCTAGAGCTATACACGATTCTTCGGCCATGTAAAATGGTTGTCGATCCATGACAAACTTGTAGCATCTGGAATAGTCTTTTGAATTAAACTTTATTTCAAAATATCAGCTAACTAATTGACCTTCCAAATTCCGGGTGAGATATGGTCCCCACTGGGCAATTTGCACCTACCACGGGTAAAATAAGGACGAAGAGCAGCACGAGCATTGCGTACAACAGCCGAGAGCTCTTATCAGTTCAACGAAAAGTTGTGCTTCCTGCTTGTCCAACGGTGTTTCAGTGGGATTTGTATATTATGGAACTAGGTGTTAGGTGAAACCTTTGGACCACCGCAAAAGTTTGTCTGCAAGTTGGCACCACGAGCACTTCCGATTGAGACCATTTGTTGAACACGGAGCTGTAGACTGGACCAGAGTCGTTTCATCAAAACCTCTGCTTAGCTATCTTTTAGTACCATCCAAACTCCTACAGGAAACAAAGAACCCAATTTTCGTCGAAAAAATACAATAATGTATAAAAATGATATTGTTATGGTGTCACATGTGCTATAGACTATGCTCTTTAGAATTTGCAACGCTGACAAAATCATTTGGTAAATGAGGCTACAGTACTCACGACTACAGATTTTACAAACTTCCAGTTGTAGATCTGATACTTTCTACTGAGCGGTATGTGTGAAAAATATCATGCAAAAAGTATGTTTGTTTGTTCACTGGCACCGATATCTGCCATCTTTTTGGCTATTAGATGGACTCACTTTGATATCAGAAAGGCATATTACAGATTTTGGCACAAATAGCACTCCGATGATCGCAGTTCGTATGATTCCCCTGAAACTCCATTTTGAATTCCGAATTCAGGCTCATTATTTCCACCATGCAACATAGATAAAATAGCCTTGAGTTAAGGCACTTGGCGACACACATCATTGTATTCATTCTAATTATTCTTTAGCAATTCTGCTGCTTTTTCTCCAATTCTCCTTTCTCAAGTTTTTTCACATTTTTTTGTTCACATGCGTATGAATAAGAATCAAATTCTTTCTCAAGGCACCTCAGAATGTATGTTTGCTTAAGCAGGTGATTTGCCAAATCGGCAACCGTCTTTGTTCATTGATGAAATCACCTTTCCAGGGCTCCACAAGATCACTTTCCGAAAATGCAGGAATCGAAGTCCTCCTTGATTCTTGCAAAATATTACGCAGTCTCCTTTGACCCTAAACTCTTAACGTAAAAAAAACCTTATTAACAACGAAACCTCGACTAAAGAAACATATCCTAAATTGCGTTTTTTTCGGCCACAAAAACTGTATCGCCGTTGCTTTTCGTCCCAAATCTATATCCAGCTTGCTCGTAAGCCATTTGTGCCGAGCCTTGCACCATCTTAGCGAATTATAGCTTCAGCGATATAGCAAAGGTGAAAATAAGATCTAAACTGCAAAATAATATTATACTTGGGGTTTAGCTCTTATGTGATAATAACGTTCAGTCAACAAAAATTCATTTGTTTTCCCCGGTGCTAGTTTAACTAAATATTGTCACAGATTCATTTTACTCGAACTGCGATGAACGTTCTGGTCAGCTAGCTTGAAGTGAGGATTACATACAATGCTATACAATTATATCAAAATTTTATCGAACGATCACAATTTGCAATCATGAAGTGAATGCTCAATTTAGAGCCGGCTGCTTGCATACATAGGCTCGCATCGTTTCTGCGCACTGCACGTCATTCCATCTCCTAAAATCTGCATCTCCGGCGGGATTTCTGTTCAGCGAGTCGGTGTACATCTGCAAGAAAACGCTATTGATTGTGGATGTTGTTCAAACAAAGATCTTTACCTGTGCGCAGTTTTGGAGTCCAGTAATATCCTCTGGCTTTCCTTTTGCCCAATTGAGGTAATCAAGAGCTGATCCATCGCTCCAAGCCCATGTTGCATTTGGCGGATAATTTGGCTTCCTCAAACCAATCCAGGTCAGCTGCTTCTCGTTTTTGTACTCAATGCCCATATGCGTCAAACCTACGAATTTTTTGGTACTACCTTATCAGCTAATTCATTTTCCTACTTGAAATGAAAGTATTTTCTTCTTCACTATGAATAGAGACCAAGTGTCCACCAGTAGATGTGCAGACCGTTTCTGCTTGGTCGAACGCAGCATTCAAGAAATGCTTTAATAAGAACTTATGCTGAAAATACTACCTATTTGAAGAACAGTTCTCACTTTGTAACAGCTATTTGTTTTTGAGTAGTACGTCCATTCCGAGGGGCAATGCGAAGGAACAGCTGAAATGTCTCTCATGAACTGGGCTTTTCACACATAGAAAAAAAAGAAAAGTTAAAAATCACTTTCATCAGAATTAGTTGCGGATCGAGGAACGGGTAGCAAAATTTTGAAACTTACATATTTACACAATTGTTTAATTGTAAAGCCATAAATATATTAGGTTGTCCCGAAAGTTTTGTCGGTTTTTTTCATCGCTCACCAAACCCCACAGAACACCAATCCATGGACGGCCCAGGTGTCATTCTATTCATTTTTGTATCCTCTTTCTTACAGCTAAATTTGTTCCCTGATCTACCCCGTCTTTACGATGTTATTGCCAGGACTTTTTGAGCACCTCAGCAGTAGTGCCAAAACTTTCCTGAATTTTCAAAAACTTTATCTTGATATTTTCGATGAGCGCTGGTGACTCTTATGTAGGGCAAACCTTTGGCTACGTTGTACCTATTTTAGATTACGTGGGCCACGTTTATAATGTCCGTAATAATTATTTATTTGAGAAAAACCGCGGCTCTTGAACTCGTTTTATCAAGTAAAATTACCGAAAATTCCAAAAAGCTGATTTTTGAAGCAAATCAAACTTGGTTATGTTGCATAAATAATGTTAAATAACAAACAAGTTTGAATTCGCAAAAACTCAAAAGCTTTCATGCTTTTGCTGCAATTACGCGTTTCATGACTTTGCTTAAAACCAAGGACTCCTGAGAAATAATTTTTTGAAGTTAAAATCAGCAGACTAGGAGAATCTAAAAATATGAACTTGTAGCCCGAGAGTTGCTCTATTTAACCCATACTTAGTCTTTTTCGAAGCTTTGTAATGAAATTTTTGAAAATTAGCTCAACTTTGAGCAGATAAAATTGACAGGTGAAGATTTTTGGCAATTATCGAAAAAAGCTTACAAGATTATGGTATGTAGGTGTACCCATAAGAAAGAGAAGGAAAAGCTGCATCGAATGCACGTTGAAACTCACTCAAATCTTCATTGTGCGTGGTTTTACAGTGGTTTGAAAAAACCGACAAAACTTTCGGGACAACCTAATATATATATTTACCCATTTGTTCAATTATAAGGCGATAAATGTTATGTAAAGCATCACAAATTTTTTTCATTTTTTGGCTATCCAAGGCAAAAATTACAAGAGGCTGAGCTTTTGTGTCACCCTCTCCCCAACTTTCCACTGAAACTCTCGTCCGAACTGCCTTTTGGAAACTAGGTAAGAAACACCCCAAAACGGTCCTTTCACCCGATGCAAAGCTCAAATTCGGGTTCTAAGTGTTGAAAAGTCTTAAAACATGCAGATGGGTGGAAATGCAAAATTTGCCGGGGCACTTTAACTGGGTCTAATGGGAAGTAAAGTGTCTGTATGATCTACAATCGCCGGTACATATTGTACGAACGTCTAGCTTAGTTAGCTACTGTCAAATATAATGCTTGTTACTAGATTAAATAGTAATTTTGCAAACATCTTACGAGGTGCCGTAGGACACGGTTGTGGAGTCGGAGGAGTTGGGCAAGTGGATACAGGTGGATCGGTAGAAGCTTGTGCACAGACGTAAGAGTATGCAGTTGAGCAGGATACCGTAATCCAGCTTCCATCTGTCGAATTTTCAGCTGCGCATTGTGCATTGACTTTAGGCTCTCCTAAAGGCACACGAAGCTTAAAGAAGTTCATCGTGAACTAACTCAAGCCATGTTGCTTACCCGGAGCCCATCTAGTGTAGTTTACAGAGTTTCCATCTGTCCACGACCATTGGTCCTTCATGAGACGATTCAGCCCCGTATAAAATGGTCCCTTGATGCCTTGCTGCATAGCATACTCTGAACCGAGAGACTTAAATTTGGTAAAGCAGTCTAGAAGGAAACCCACTCACGAGATAACCAGGTATTTTCAGATGAGCTGTAGATGGAGATTAGATGACTACTGGTCTCTTGGCAGCTTTCTTCGGCCATGTAGAAGGCTTGCTTGGCGGTAACAAATTTGTAGCATCTATCAAAGAAAAATTTCTGTTTAAAGGACTTGATCATACTTGTTCTATATTTGTCGCATTTCTAGTGTTCGTAAATGTCTCGACTTTGATGAATAGTCTAGCATCTAAGGCATTGAATTCAGCAAAATAACGAATTATTGGGATTGGGTATGTTCCTGTTTTTTGCATTTCTGCATAAAGATTCCACTTCAGGAAACTAAAGATGATGTTAATAAATTTGCTTTGAGATTTGCAAACGCTACCATGCAACTTCGATGCTTACAATCACTAGTCACATTAATACAACCATATTTAGATGGCATTTTCTATCATCACTACTTTTTTCAAGCTGAAAATATCTACCTAATTCACTTACCTGTTGTTTTGTTGCTGGTATATATAACCAAAAGGACATGTTGCCAAAGTCAGAGGCAAGACGTAGAAAAGCAGCTGCCACCGCATACTTTCTGCGCTTTTCTTATCAAAACGTAACATGGATGATTACATAATCCACTTATAATTTAGCGCTCGGATTTTCGAGAAGCATTGAAGTGAAGCTTTGATAATATTAGGTGGGTCCGAAAGTTATGTTGTTTCATTTTCAAAAATTTGTATCTTCGCAAAGTTTGAACGGATTTGCTTGCTTTTAGTTTCGCTAGAAAGAATAAGTCTTTCGCTTTTGAAAGCTATTTAGCGGAGCTTCTGTTTCACATGGGTGCGGAGATAAAAATGGAAAACTAAGACCATGTAAGCTTTGATTATTTTGAGTTAGGTCACCAAAAATCGGGAATACTGCAGAAAAATCAGAAATCGTCTACATATGTTTTTTGGCCTACCCTTCGCAACTTTGAAAAATTTGTGCTGTTTGGACTTCTCTGTGAGAAGTTATGAATATCGAATTTACTATGGAAAACGCCAAAATTAATTAATTTGTCAGTTTTCGCGAAAATCATAAGTTCTCTACCATAGACGTCCAAACAGCACTCTTTACAGTTGCGAAGGGTAGGCCAAAAAACATATGTACTAAAGATTTCAGGTTTTTTGCAGCGTTCCAGATTTTTGGTGACCTAACTTAAACTGGTCAAAGCTTATATGGTCTTAGTTTTCCATTTTTATCTCTGCATTCAGTGTGAAACCGAGGCTATCCAAAACAGCGCTTGAAAGTGAAAGACTTTTTCTTAACAAAATTAAAAGCAAGCAAATCCAAAATTTTTGAAAATGAAACAACAGAACTTCCGGACCCACCTAATACATGTGCACACATTCTGTACACTCAATGAGGTCAGAATCAAGTTCGACATCCTGATGAAGAGAAGCGGCAATAGGCAGAATTTTTTAGAAATTGTGGGATTTTTGAAAAATCAAACTACTTGAAAATTCTGTACTGAAGAGCATAGCAGTTTTGTGACAAGTTTTGCTTTTATGATGAGAAGAAAAGACTTAACTTCAAAGCTACACAATAAAATCACTTTTTATAGTTATGATATTTTCATAAACCATTTCTAGGATTTATTAGTCGACCAAATGCTAAGCATTGCAAAAAATGATCACCTCATACATCAATTCAATGAACTTTCATAGATTGAAAGGGCTTGACTTTCTATTCCTCATTATATAATGTCTAAAGAATTGTTCATTCATGCAATCCGTACAGATGTTATTTTCCTGAAGAAAAAACAAAGATCCTTTTATCTTAGGGGCGGAAGACAAAATGCATTTTTGAACACAGAAGCGTTCGTGCAAGTGGGTATCTGTATTCCATTCGAAACTTAAGTCAATTTTCCGTGGAAAGAGTATGACAAAAATTTACCCGATTGTGACCTATCACATTCTTCCTTGTCGCTATGCTTCGAAAAAAATCAGATATTTCATTTACTAGTTTCTCTGTTGGTTTATTCCATTTGCCTATTCAGTTCAAAGATGTGCCTCATAATAGCGAACAACGCGTTAAGCTTGAGGGCACAAACATTTGTTAGTTACAGGACTTTGCTAGATTGAGGTCGAAAATGTAGCTATGGCTCACGCAAGATTTTATGAGGCCCCAAACAGTTAATTAACCTCCGTACCTTTCGAAGTAGCTTCAGGTGATTGGAAGCTAACATCTGATAGCAGAAAAGCCTTCAAATACAAAGAAAATTGAAAGGCTTGATGTGTAAGCAATGGTCGCAATCAGGGCTCGGCACGAGGTGGCTAGATGAAAATGCAAAAAACGAAGTCCCCCTTGACTTTTGGGTATTTTTACGAAGTTCCCTTTGACCCCCCACCATATTCCCTAAAAATCCTCCAAAAAAAGAAACGTCGACTAAAAAAAAACGTCGCCAAATCGCCAATTTTGCGTGTGTCTTCGGTCACAAAAACGAAACCCCCTTTGCTTTTCGTCCCAAAAACGATATCCAGCTTGCTTGTAAGCCACCTCGTGCCGAGCCCTGGTCGCAATTCAAGCGATCCCTTCACAACCATGCAGAGCCCTATTTTAGGCTTTGATCATACATTGCCAGTAATACCCGCATTAACGGTGTTACCAGTGTTACCCGCTACTCGTGTCCTGTGTTACTCGTGCTATTCTTGCTACTAGAATAAGACTGCATTGGTGATTATTTCACTATTCGACAGCAATATTAGGTCATTCAGAAAGTTTTTTTTTCGCTTTTTGCGCCTTAGATATTAGTGCCATGTTCTAAGAGAGGGCTAAGAGGCTGACAGGGGTTGCCATATATGGATCTGTAGAGAAAGTCTTCCAGTTTCTAAAAATCCCACCGAAGTTGCAGAAAACGCTTCGTAGGGAAGTTTACGCGGCTATAAATTCGACGTATGAGAACGCGATTTTCGAATAATTGCATTCTCTAAGCTCAAAGGTGAAGGCAGTTAAGGAAGCCATCATTGTGCGCAATGCATTTGTGCCACTTGCCATGTCTTTCTAAGGTTGGTTAAAGTCTGCTTCAAAAAGTTCAGATTTAGAGAAGTGAATGCTAATGATTTGTAATGCTCTGGAAGGTGTTACTGCCTTCTCAGCGAGCATCTCAGAGGGTTCTCTGAAGCAAATTCAAATATAGTTCCATAAAATTATCAGCAGGCCCTGAAGTGTCATATAGCCCCATTAGAATCTACCTTTGCTAAAATTGAAATATCTAAAACCGTCAGTGACGTACACCTAACAAACTGACACACTCTCCGAATGGGGGCGCGTTGACTCTGCTTTTGTTGTTCATAATTTGATAGAAATCCTTTTTTGGACTAGGTTAATAATTACAGCAAAAGATTGGCCAAGTACGGCTACAAGAAGCGACAATGTGCTACATCATTTGAAACAAACGTTGAAAGCATGGCCATGAACAATCAATCATTAGAAAGTTGATTGTACACAAAATTAAAGTAGTCCTGCTGGTCTTGCACGCTATAAATTTGCTGAGATGTGGATGTACTCATGAGGGAAGGATACCTGGTCGACGTGGGGTTTTCGTATGAAATGTACAGCAGCTTAAAGTGCATGAAGCGCTGATTCCAAATCTGCTTTCCTCGTCTGCAAAGCGCTTCTGGGAGGGGAGTTCTGGGAATTTTTTGTGGTAAGAATTCAATGATTTGGCTACGGTTAAAACAGGTTTTGAGATCTTTTCGGCGCTCAAAAGGAGTAATGACTGACATGAGTTAATAAGATTGAAGGTAATTATTGCACAGAACGCTCTGGTAATGATTGTGGCATTGTTCGAGCTGACGTGCGCAGTTCTGAATGATTTTATTGTAGCCGCGCGTTCAAATTTTTGCTTCAAGAAATTCTCATAACCTTTTTTCCAGAAGCGCTTTGCAGATAAGGAAAGCAGATTCGAAATCAGCGTATTAATCTCTATAAGACAGTATACAATTCGTATTGAAATGCCACTTCGACCAAATATCCTTCCCTTGTCAGAGCAGAGTATTATGCTATCTCTCGAAGACCGTTTGTCAAAATTTTAAAACTGGCACGTATAACCTATGAGAGGTGCCATCGGGCCCGTGACGGCGCCAAACCACATGTAAGGAAAGTTGGCTCTCACAAAAAGGGCCGATTTCGCGCCGAGGTTCCTGTTTTATTTTCACACTCTTAGACCTTCCCCTATCAATCAACAATTTTCTAATTTCTCGATGCCTATTAAGAAATAATAGGACCCAATAAAATTTAGCTAGTCAAAAATGTCTTTTTAGGCTTTACTGATTTCTCTGAGAGTATTTCGCAAGAAAAAGCACAAGAGCACTACGTGAATGTTAACAGAAATTTGATGAACATAATGAAATTTTTTTGGTGAAAAAAAGTTGGTTCCGGAAAAAGTTGCTCTCTTTCAAACTTGAGGGTGCAAAAACGAAAAAACTTTCAGTATGGCCTAATAAAAATCGTGACGCTGGTAACGCTAATAACACGAGTGACACGAATAACGCTCATCGGTAACATTAGTAACATGAGTAACCCTAGTAACACTAGTAACACGAGTAACACGGGTAACACTGGTGACACTGTAATGTATAATCAAAGCCATATGACAGGCTGACCGAGGTACAATAACAAGAAAGCTTTTCTGCTAATCTATAAACACGTCTCTATCGTACCAGCATCAAAATATCATAACTTATAATAACGGGCTAAGGGTTGTTTACGTTTGTCTGTCTGTCTGTCTGTGTGAATCTGTCTGTCACGAAATTCGTAGAGCGTGTTCCAGCCAACGTCCTGAGCCCAAATTTTGCATAGCGCACGCTGTCAGCATGAAAGTTCACTATACAAAAGCATGAGCGGATCCGTTGAGTGGATCCATTGGAAATTGCGCGTCAAACGGATCCACTTAACTTCTGGCCAGCAAATTTGGGACCGTAGTACTAGTTTTTGTAGATTTAAGGATATATTTGACAAGCTAATGTGCAAGCCAAGGGCGTTAGCCTAAAAAAGTAACGAAAAGTCTACTACTCTACGAAAATAGAACCAAAAAGCATTCGCTGTGTAAACGGTCAATTTTTCAAGATTTTACCTGATCATTTGATAATATTTTTGCACAGAAATGTAGCCCGCTATGTTTATTGTCCTTACGGCGACTACCAAGCCATAAAAATTCCAAAAACCTTTTCGAATTTGCGACTAAAACTTGGAACTTTTAAAGATTCTTAGCGAATCTATCATAACTGCTCTCTCTCAGCTTCTTCCAGCCGCACCTCTCCGTCCTTTGCTTTAAGATCCTCAAATTTTGTATAGCGTTTTGCTATCTGAGCTCTTTGAGGATTTGCCCCCCCCCTCCCAACTCTTCCCGGGGCCATGTTTTCCACAGTGAGTGCTCCCCCCCAATCTGCCTTAGAACCTCCATCCCCCCCCCCCCCCCAAAAATTCTGAGACTACTCATCTCTTTCCGAAATCAAGATAGCAAGAAAATTTAAGTTGACTCCTTGAGAATATTTAGCCAACATTCTAAATCTAAAATTTTCCAAACTCAAACGCTACCTCTTTTTCTTGACAAAATAATTTTCCTTGGAAGCGTCAT